AAATAGACTTTAAACCAACAAAGATCAAAAGAGACAAAGAAGGGCATTACATAATGGTAAAAAGGTCAATGCAACAAGAAGAGCTAAGGATCCTAAATATATATGCACCCAATACAGGAGCACCCAGATATATAAAGCAAGTTCTTAAGGACCTACAAAGAGCTTTAGACTCCCACATAATAATTGTGGGAGATTTTAACACTTCGCTGTCAATATTAGACAGATCAATGAGAAAGAAAATTAACAAGGATATTCAGGACTTGAACTCAGATCTGGACCAAGCAAACCTAACAGACATTTACAGAAATCTCCACCCGAAATCCACAGAATACATATTTTTGTCAGCAACACATAACACCTACTCCAAAATTGACCGCATATTGGCAGTAAATCACTCCTCAGCAAATGTAAAAGAATGGAAACCATAACAAACAGTCTTTCAGACCACAGGGCAAACAAATTAGAACTCAGGATTAAGAAACTAACCCAGAACCGCACAACTTCATGGAAAATGAACAACTGGCTCTTTAACGTTGACTGGATAAACAATGAAATGAAGGCAGAAATAAAAGTGTTCTTTGAAACCAATGAGAATGAAGACACAACGTACCAGAATCTCTGGGACACATTTAAGGCAGTGTCTGGAGGGAAATTTATAGCAATAAATGCCCACATGAGATGTGAGGAAAGATCTAAAATCAACATCCTATCATAAAAATTGAAGGAGCCAGAGGAACAAGATCAAAAAAACTCAAAAAGTAGCAGAAGATAAGAAATAACTAAGATCAGAGCAGAACTGAAGGAGATAGAGACAAAAAAAAACTCGTCAAAAAATTAATAAATCCAGGAGTTGGTGTTTTGAAAAGATCAACAAAATAGACGACTAGCCACAAAAATAAAAAAGAAAAGGGAGAAGAATCAAATAGATGCAATAAAAAACAATAAAGGGGATATCACCACCAATTCCACAGAAATACAAACTACCATCAGAGATTACTACAAACAACTCTACACATATAAATCAGTAAACCTGGAAGAAATGGATAAATTCCTGGACACTTGCATCCTCCCAAGTCTAAACCAGGAAGAAGTTGAAACTCTGAATAGACCAATAACAAGGGCTAAAGTTGAGTCAGCAATTAACAGTCTACCAACCAAAAAAAGTCCAGGTCCAAATGGGTTCACAGCCAAATTCTACCAGACGTACAAAGACAAGCTGGTACCACTTCTTCAGAAACTATTCCAAACAATCCAAAAAGAGGAAATCCTTCCTAAATCATTTTATGAGACCAACATCATCCTGATACCAAAACCTGGCAGAGACTCAACAAGAAAAGAAAACTTGAGGCCAATATCCGTGATGAACATAGATGTAAAAATCTTCAATAAAATACAGGAAAACTGATTGCAACAGCATATCAAAAAACTTATCCGTAACGATCAAGTAGGCTTCATCCTAGGGATGCAAAGCTGGTTCAACATACTTGAGTCTATATAAACATAATCCACCACATAAACAGAACCAAAGAAAAAAACCACATGATTATCTCAACAGATGCAGAGAAGGCCTTCAACAAAATTCAACAGCCTTTTATGCTAAAAACTCTCAATAAAATAGGAATTAATGAAATGTATCTCAAAATAATAAAAGCTATTTATGACAAACCCACAGCAATATCATACTGAATGGACAAAAATTGGAAGCATTCCCTTTGAAATCTGGCACTAGACAAGGATGCCCTCTCTCACTACTCCTATTCAATATAGTATTGGAAGTTCTAGCTAGAGCAAATAGGCAAGAAAAAGAAATAAAGGGTATTCAATTAGGAAAGGAGGAAGTCAAGTTGTCTCTATTTGCAGACAACATGATTGTAAATTTAGAAGACCCCATCATCTGTCTTAGCCCAAAATCTCCTGAAACTGATAAGCGACTTCAGCAAAGTCTCAGGATACAAAAGCAATGTGCAGAAATCACAAGCATTCCTATACACCAATAATAGACTTAAAGAGAGCCAAATCAAGAATGAACTGCCATTCACAATTGCTACAAAGAGAATAAAATACCTAGGAATACAACTAACAAAGGATGTAAATGATCTCTTCAAGGAGAACTAGAAACCACTGCTCAATGAAATAAGAGAGGACACAAACAGATGGAGAAACATTCCATGCTCAGTGTTAGGAAGAATCAGCATTGTGAAAACGGCCATACTGCCCAAAGTAATTTATAGATTCAATGCTATCCCCATCAAGCTACCAATGACCTTCTTCACAGAACTGGAAAAAGCCACTTCAAACTTCAGATGGAACCAAAAGAGAGCCCACATAGCCAAGTGAATTCTAAGCAGAAAGAACAAAGCTGGAGGCATCATGCAACCTGACTTCAAACTATACTACAAGGCTACAGTAATCAAAACAACATGGTACTGGTACCAAAACAGAGATATAGACCGTTGGAACAGAACAGAGGCCTCGGAGGCAACGCCACCACATCTACAACCATCTGATCTTTGACAAACCTCACAAAAACAAGCAATGGGGAAAGAATTCCCTGTTCAATAAATCGTGTTGGGAAAACTGGCTAGCCATGTGCAGAAAGCAGAAACTGGACCCCTTTTTGACACCTTACACTAAAATTAACTCCAGATGGATTAAAGACTTAAGCATAAGACCTAACACCATAAAACCCCAGAAGAAAACCTATGCAAAACCATTCAGGACATAGGCATAGGCAAGGACTTCATGGCTAAAACACCAAAAGCAACAACAACAAAAGCCAAAATAGATAAATGGGATCTAATTAAACTCCAGAGGTTCTGCAGAGAAAAGGAGACAATCATTACAGTGAACTGGCAACCAACAGAATAGGAAAAAAAATTTTGCCATCTACCCATATGACAAAGGGCTAATACCTGGAATCTACAAAGAACTAAAACAGATTTACAAGAAACAAACAAACTCATTCAAAAGTGGGCGAAGGATATGAACAGACACTTTTCATAAGAAGACACAGATGAAGCCAACAAAGATGAAAAAATGCTCATCATCACTGGTTATTAGAGAAATGCAAATCAGAACCACATTGAGATACCATCTCACGTCATTTAGAATGGCAATCATTAAAAAATCTGGAGACAACAGATGCTGTAATGGATGTGGAGAAATAGGTACACTTTTGCACTGGTGGTGGGAGTGTAAATTAGTTCAACCATTGTGGAAGACAGTATGGCGATTCCTCAAGGGCCTAGAAATAGAAATTGTATTTGACCCAGCAATCCCATTACGGGTATATATCCAAATGATTATAAATCATTCTATCATAAGGACATATGCACACATATATTCACTGCGGCATTATTTACAACAGCAAAGACTGGAACCAACCCAAATGCCCATCATTGATAGACTGGACAGGGAATATGTGGCCCATATACACTACGGAATACTAAGCAGCCATAAAAAACAATGAGGTCCTGTCCTTTGTAGGGACATGGATGAATCTGGAAACCATCTTTTCTCAGCAAACCGACATAAGAACAGAAAATCAAACGCATGTTCTCACTCACAGGCGGGTGTTGAACAACGAGAACACATGGACACAGGGAGGGAAGCATCACACACTGGGGTCTGTTGATGGGGACTAGGGGAGGGACAGCGGGTGGTAGGGATTTGGGGAGGGATAACATGGGGAGAAATGCCAGATATAGGTGATGGGGATTGAGGCAGCAGACCACATTGCCATGTGTGTACCTATGCAACAATCCTGCATGTTCTTCACATGTACCCCAGAACCTGAAGTGCAACAGAATATATATATATGTATATATATATATAAAGATTATTACTATATGGTTTTAATTTACTGTTTTGTTTTACTCTGCTAGATTTCAGCTCCTTTATAGGTATCTTTTATCTCCTACCTGTCCTTGGTAATTTTCAGTAGCTGGATGGATAAATTACAACAAATCATACAAAGGAATTCTCATGAATTTCTTCCAGTTATATTTTTTACTGAAACACTCGTAATCTGTCTAGCAGATTTTTTAGGTGAATTAACAGAAGCAGAAGAAGTGTATTAAACCTTCTTAGAATCCCAAAGTAATTTCTTCCATCAGGTATAACCTTCCGGCAGCCTTCCCTAAACTAAGTTAAAGCACCACAGTCCTAACCACTCCTCAAAACTTGGTGCTTGCTTCTTTAACACCTATTAAGTGTACACCATTTATTTATCTGCTACTCTATTAGACTGTATACATCCTGAAGGTATCTTCGTACCTTCAGTGCTGAGCACATTACGGTAGGGTTCAACAAAGTTTACAGGACAAATGAAATAAGGACACAGAAGCCCAGCGCGGTGGCGCATGCCTCTAATCCCGGCACTTTGGGAGGCCTAGGCGGATGGCTTGGATTGAGCTCAGGAGTTTGAGACAGGCTGAGCAACATGGTGAAACCCTGCCTCTACCAAAAACAAAAATTAGCCGGGCTTGGTGGCCCATGCTTGTGGTCCCAGGTACTCAGGAGGCTGACGCAGGAGAATCGCTTGAGCCCGGGAGGGGGAGGTCGCAGTGAGCCGAGATCGCGCCATTGCACTACTCTGGCCTGGGCAACAGTGAGACCCCGTCTCAAAAAAAAAAAAAAAAAAAAAAGGAAATGCGCCATATATGTCTCAAAAGACCATTTTTATTGCCCTCCAAGAGAACTGGGAGTTCCTAAACGAACTTTTTAAAGGTTGCCTTGGGATAGGATCAGAAAGGCAACCTAGTTGACTTTCTTCCCAGTTTAAAGCGCGGCTTCTAACAATACCCAAGATTCTCTCCTTCCAGACAAGGAACCCAGAGAAAAACACTGAAGCCCCACCCTGCTACTTTCCCACCTGCTCCGCAAAAAAGGCACTCAGCCTGACAGGGGCGGCGCGGCCAGCCGGGAGGCCCAGGCCGCGCCCATCAAGCAGGTGTCGCGAGACTGGGATTGGCTCTCTGAACCAACGTCATTCCGAAGAAGACGGTTCCGCCCCTTTCAAGATGGCGCTGCACTCAGCGCGGAAAGCGCGTGGGTGCTGGAGCTTCATCCGGGCACTTCATAAAGGATCCGCAGCTTCTCCCACTCCCCAGGTAACTAAGGCTGGCCCTTCCCTCGGCGGCTTCCCATCCCGCGAGGTTCTTCTCATCCCACTGCCTTCTATTTATTTTTCTCCTCTCGCTTCTTAGGGAAGCTACTTGCGTTCTGTCGCCTAAGGTCTACTCGCCTATGACTGCCCTCCTATTCAGAGCGTAATGACGTTGCAAGAATACGTGATGACGTAAAGCTCCCTTGGTGAAAAAAGCGCGCCGGTCCCTGCCCTCTTGTCTCCGCTTGCTGACCTCTTGCTTCTGCCTTCCGTCCTGGGAGCTGATCGCCGCCGCTGTTGCTGGGCAACGCGGTTAGCCAACCTCGGGCGTGATGTTTTCAGAAACCAGGGTTTTAGAGACTGCTGCTCTTCTCGTGGTCCTGTTACAGCTTTTACCCTCCTTACCCTAACAGCAAAACAGGGCGCCGTCGGAGAGACGAGAGAAGTCTTGTTAGGCAGTGGGCGGCTCATCAGCTTGGCAGTGTGGTACCTGAGCAAGTGTCTGCATCGTCCATTCCGCTTGCTTCTCGTGGCCCCACAGCACTGTATCTAGGCGGCTGTGAAAGTGATAGCAAGCTTCCCCTGTTCTGTCCTGCGCTTGACAGCATTGCCGTTACCATGAGTCTCGCGGGACGGAGACCACGTCGCGGCCTGGTCTAATGGTCTTAAATAATTGGAATTTTACCCTCATGGCAAAAATGTCGGGGGGAGGGGATACCCTTTCCGTTATTCGGACTTTTACCAAACGTCTTCCAAGTGCAGTCTCGGTAAGCACTTTGACATACGTTGTCTACAGGACATAACTTCTGGGAACGAGAGAGAAACGAGATAATGTGATTTTATTAGGTGATTTCCTGGCATCTTTTGCGTATTCATTGTCACCATACGGAGGTGTGAGGATGTCACACCTCTTGTAACTGGTGCGTTGAAAAGAGCACTAGAGGAAGGTAGTCCAGAGCTCCAGGGTTTGGTCCCCCACTTGATAGCTGTGTAACAGCTCACAATCTCTCTGGGTCTTTTTTTTTTTTTGCGCTTATTGGGTGGAGGAAGAGTTGGACTGATTGACATGTTAATGTTCCTTCAACCTCTGGGAAATCTATAGTTCCATGATTATGAAGCCAAAACAAAGCCAGTGGGAGTAATTATGAAAACCAAGATTTAAGTTCAAGTTATTTTTCTATTTATGTCATAAATTTTTTGAACTTTCGTTTTCTTTATTGTTGTGAGCCTCACACATTCTTATAAGCCAGTATATTAATATGTACCAGAAATTTCCTTGTCAACAAACAATTATTCAAATGTTACTTTAAATTTCAGCAGCAAAATTAGATAAATCCATCAAAAATTCCTCTCCTTGAAATTTGAGCGTTTGATTCTGCAGAATCAGAATTAGTTGATTATTTATAATTAATAACACATTAACATCTATGCTATCAAAGTACACCTTGGATCCAAACTTCCCCTTATTCCATACTAAAGAATTGACGATATCTTGAGAAAGTGAATCGAAGAGAAAAGAAATACTAGAGCCTGCTAATGACTGCCGGCCCAGGGAAGTTTCAGACACCAAGTCAATATAAATGCTAAAGAAAAAAAAAATTCTTAAACCTTTACTATTGTTTCAGTGACATTTATGAATAGGGCTATAAAAGTTAATTATTAATGTAAATTGTTTCAAGATGTAGAATTTCCAGTACAGATGAATGTTTCTAAACCTTTAATTTAGCTTTGAGTAGAATAAGAATTAAATGTGAGAAATTAAATATTTTTTTAAAGTATAAATCTATATATAATTTTAGTCATTGAAAATGATGGTTTGAAAGATTAATGTGGTCTTTTGAAAAGATACAAAATTGTGTTCATAGTGTTATTACAATATTATGTTTATATATAAATATTTATATAAACATATACATAAAAAGACTGGAAGGGAACAAACATTTTTAACTTTTCTATTTTGCTTTGGCCTTCCTGAATAATGGATTAAAAGTTATTTGTTTCCTTTTATAGAATTCCATATTTTTCACGTCTAAATTGAAGATATACACTTTTATAACCAGAAAAAAGTTTTGAAATCATAAATCTTTAAACAAATCTTTAGTCATTAATACCATTTGTGATATTTTAGGTTTCTGAGGAAGATACTTGTTCCATAGTACTGTTATTAAAATGACCTTAGAAAAGGACTACTAAAAATTTATGGCCACTTTTCCTGTATGTATCTTCTTTTTCTCTTGAAAAGCTTCCTTTGAAGTTAAAGGGATTTTGTGAACAGATGCAGAAATATGTGAAAGAAGCATTGGATTCTTAAACCAGATGCATTAGACATTTTTATGATATCTCATAAGCTTTGTAGAAAACAAAAATTATTTTGCAAGAGGATAGCATAATGGGAAAAAATGTGTATTTGTTATATGAATGGTTCTATCAAAAACCAAGAAATAGCGAAGTTACTTTTTATTAGTTTTGGCTGTGAACTTACTTCCTGAGGTGGAAAGCAAAAGTGAAGGAGCCATAGCAGTGCTATGTTAGAAACTGCAACTAATAAAGTATTGTGATTCCTAGGTTGTTTTGATGGTTTTTAGTGTTTTCTTTTTTAAAAACAAAATCTTGGGTAAAAAGCTTGGCATGGGGGCTCTTTGCTTATCTCAGATGCAGGCTTTTACCTCTCAAGGCCTGATGTAAACTCAAGTTCAAAATAAAAAATAGAGAGTAACAAGAATAACAGTACATCACTCCATACTCATTATGGGATGTCTACAGTTTATATGAAAACCGTTTATTTTGCCAGGTGTTGCCTGACAGAAAACTGTTGAAATCTGACAAGATGGGCGGAGTCAGAGGAATTAAGATCTGACATGTTACGTTTAAATGTTGATGGTAATAGGTAAATTCAAGCCTGTCATCATTGGCCAAACACAGAATCCATACTTCTTTAAGCATAAGTCATGATTGTATTGTGCAAAGAGTGAAATATTGATGGTTAATAGATGTTTGCAAAGATATTTGTTATCATTCAGTTGAAGTATAATAAACTGTCCACATTTTATTGCAGTTGAACATGCTTCATTATTAGCGGTTCCTAGCCTGGGTTTGACCAGTATTCACATAATGTTCTTGCTGTTAATGATTGCTAAGTATAGCCATTAGATGAAGAATTTTGCCTTCCAAAAAATAAGCATGGTTTAAAATTTTTGACCCTGTATTTAGTTCTCACAAGACTTAAATTTTTTAAATTTAAAAATAATTTTAGATTTACAGAGTTGCAAAATTGGTACAGAGAATTTCCGTATACCCTTCGCCAACCTTTGTCTTGAATAATTATAATACAGTTATCAAAATCAAAAAACTCATATTGGTGCAATAGTATTAATTTAGTTAACTTAGTTCAAATTTCACTCGTTTTTTTCACTATCCCTTTTCTTAGTCCAAGATCAAATCCAAGATCCCACATTGCATTTAGCTGTCATGTCTTTTCTAATCTATACACTTTCTCCCTTTCATGACCTTGGCACTTTTGAAGAGAACTGGTCAGTTATTTTGCAGAATGTCTCTCAATTTAGGTTTGTTTGATTTTTCTTTGTGATTAGACTCAGGTTATGGATTTTTGGCAAGAATACCACAAAGAGATGTTGTTCATAACAAGGCCTTAAGGCAGGTATTAGCACCTTATTTCAAACGTGAAGAAATAGACTTTAGTTAAGTAACTTGCCCAATGTCACACAATGGTGGAATTAGGGTGGTAAAATTTAATGCAGGCATTTCCTTCCATATTTTGCAATTAGTGTTTGTTAGTGTAAGTTTCGGCAATGTTAATGACATTAAATTGGGGTAGTTTTCCCACTGACTTTTAGCTTTTCCCTGCCATGTATTGTCCTTGCAACAGGCAGCATGAGCTAATCAGCATGGTATGTGTTCAAGAGCTGCAGCAGCCATCTGGGGATTTTGCTAGTTGATTACTCTGCCTGTTTGATGAGGTTACTTCATCTCCCCGTGGCAAATAAAGGTGTGCGGATCCACTCTCAAGCTCCTTTTAATCTCAGTTGGTGTGTCTATTTGTTTGAAGTGCTCTGTGGTTGGTTGCTTTTGTGAACTGACCTACTTTATTATAAATGATAATAATTAAATTGTTTGAAAAATAGCTTGAGCAGCTAACGAAAACTACTGATGGTAACTGTTGAAAATACAGAGGAAGAACAGTAGCTGAATGCTGAGGATTTATGCTAGCAGAAACTATGGCAGCCACGGCCTGGAAATTTTGAAGAGAGTGATGCTGCTGACCCCCAAATTCTTTCTCAGTGTATCTTTTGAATGACTGCAAGTTATGGAAAAGTTGTCTACAGAAGCTGCTAAAAATATATGTATGCACACACACAAATACATATATTTTTTACATAACTATATTTATACAAATTTGTTTATTTAAGCATCTATTGGCCAAGCACGGTGGCTGACGCCTGTAATCCCAGCACTTTGGAGGCCAAAGCAGGTGTATTTCTTGAGTTCAGGAGTTCGAGACCAGCTTGGGCAACATAGTGAGTCCTTCTCTCTATAAAAATACAAAAAATTAGCCAGGCTTAGTGGCATATGCCGGTAGTCCCAGCTAGTCAGGAGACTGAGGTAGGAAAATCACCTGAGCCAGAGAAAGCTGCAGTAAGTAGTGACTGCGTCACTTCACAGTAAGATCCTGTCTGAAAAACAAAAAAAAAAACCAACCCAAAACCCATCTGCCTGTCTGCCTATCCTGTATCTATATTTCGTGTCTTTCAGAAAAGGAACTAATAGCTCGTGCCTGCTGTGTGCTAAAGCCTCATGGTATGTGCTGTGCATACTTTATCTTAGTCACACAACCATTTGTAAATATTATTCTTCCCATTTTATGGAAGAGGAAACTAAGGTTCAGAGAGGTTAGGTAACTTTCCCAAGTTGCAGAGTAATAGATAGCAAGTGACAAAGTTCAAACCTAGTCTTGCCTATGCTTTTCCCACTTTAGCAAGAGTATCT